TATTTCTTTATCACAGATCAAGTTGAGAAAGGAAATGTTAAGATCGAATACTGTCCAACTGACAATATGATTGCGGATTTTATGACTAAGCCATTGCAAGGTGAGAAGTTTTGCAAGTTCAGAGATCGGATTCTTGGTCCACAGGAATAGGTCAGACAAGTATGTATATACTGTCCAACTGACAATATGATTGCGGATTTTATGACTAAGCCATTGCAAGGTGAGAAGTTTCGCAAGTTCAGAGATCGGATTCTTGGTCCACAGGAATAGGTCAGACAAGTATGTATATGTTCAAATAAAAATACAAAACAAAATAAACAGTGAATGAGAGCATGTCCCATTGCTCCCAATGGTGATTGTCACAATGGCAGGAGTGTGTTGGGATATGACAAAATATGAGTTTTTACGTTCCAAAAGAAACTATTCAAGTACAAGGTTTTCGACACGTGCGATCCGACTTTGATCGTGATGTTGGGATTCGACGCAAGTCTGCCGGACGCAAGTCTGTTGGACAATCTGTATCCACACAAAAAGGAAAAGATCCTATAAGTGGAATATTGATGTTGTGTACGATGCAGGGACATCCCGAAAAAATCTGTAGATTTCATTTTTTTTCGACCAAAGCACCACCTGCCGCAGGAAGATATGTTCACCTACGATGGCAAGACGGTTGAGGTGATTCCTAAAAGACCTAGACCAATTTTGCCCTACTTGGCGCTTGGAAGAAATGACAAGGATTGCTTCTTGTTGGCAACGACTTGTGGCGACAAACGCTTGTGACTTGCAGTACTTGTCTTTCCCTGTAAAATCAATTTTTGAATAAGACTATAGACACACAATCATTGTGGTATTCTCATCTATTTTAAAATATGTAGGATTCGCGGGCATGGTGTCTGCCTATAAAATCTTTGATGCGACGGAGCCAAGTTGTATTTCGTCCAAGACTGTTGAAAAAGATATTTATTGCGCCTCTTTCTATTGTAGACTTGCTTTGGTTGGTGGCAATGACACCTCCAGACAGATCCAAGAAAAAGAGGTTCTGCTTGTAGGAACGAATACCCGTATCTCGTAGCGAATTTTGTTGATTGATGCGTTTCATTCCAATAATTATCTTGCCAACGTAGAATGGCAGAACTTCAGTCAATACTTCGGAAATAGAAAGACGCAAAAGTAGCTCATTCTTAGTATAACAGATCGATGACTTGATTCGGCAGGGTCTTGTTTGCAACGTAGAGCATTTGGCTTGTTGACGAGTTGGCATCTGAATATTATTTTGGCAACAGCAGAATGACAAAATCTTGGTCAAAGCTTCGCGGAAATACCAGTCAAATAGACGCAAACGTAGATCTTTCGTATTATCATGGATCGCTTACTTGACTGTTGGGGTCTCGTTCGTTCGTCAAGGTCTCTTTCCCGTCGACATCATTGAACTCAACTTGGGAAGGTCTTGAATCATGATAAGTATAGAGGGAAATGAAAGCCGATCGATTGCAGAAGTGCAACTGCATTCATTCGGTCCGTCTCATCACTGCGCATAGAGCGATAATAGAATTGCGTGAGAAAATTGTATGGAGGAGATGCAACGCCCATCCGAAACTTACCTTCATTTTCATTGCGATTTTGATGAAACCGTGAGTAAATGAATGATTGAATTCAAATCTAAAACGGATAGAAGGCCGGCGAGCGGGTATGCCTGCGCGCGGATTTGAATCTCGGCGGGAAATGGATGTTCACCTACGATGGCAAGACGGTTGAGGTGATTCCTAAAAGACCTAAACAGAGAATTTCGAGTTTTAATGATCATTTAAAGAAATTCAGAATTTACATCTCCATTACTTCATGAATACGACAAATTGATGTAGCATGTTAATTGAAAATTATCTGTAGATGATCGTGAAGATTCAAAGTTCTCTGTAGATGATCGTGAAATCTGTTAAGTAATACTTATCGGTTCAATTCCACGATTATCTACAGAGACTTTTGAATTTTCACGATCATCTACAGAGAACTTTGAATCTTCACGATCATCTACAGACTTTTGTTATATATACGGTGGTGGCGCATTAAATGAAAAATCTCTGTAGATGATCGTGAAGACAGAAACTTCTCTGTAGATGGTCGTGAAAATTCAAAAGTCTCTGTAGATGATCGTGGAACTTGTTAAGTAAGACTTATCGCTTCAATTCCACGATTATCTATAGAGACTTTTGAATTTTCACGACCATCTAAAGAGAACTTTTTGTCTTCACGATCATCTACAGAGAACTTCTTTTTCTACGCGACAATTGTTAAGTAGAATTCGATGGCGGGTTAATTGAAATAGGCCTCAAATACCTGTAGATGGTCGTGAAAATTCAGAAAAAACCTGTAGATAAGCGTGAAGATCGAAGGTTCTCTGTAGATGGTCGTGGTTTTGTTAAGTATCATTTATTGGTTCACAATCACGATTGTCTACAGAGAATTTTCGATTTTCACGACTATCTACAGGTTTTTCCTGAGTTTACACGACCATCTACAGACATTTGAGGCCTTTTGCAATTTCTCGCACTGGCGGAAGGACAATGGCTCGCTTTTCTCCTTCTGGAAGGAGTGCCATTTTTGACCAAAAAAATCATTTACAGATTTTTTCGGCATGTCCCAGTAGGGAATAATGCAAGATATCCCAAAGTACTGCATTCAACACAAAATTGTCGTAGAAGTCGAATTGAGTTCTGTAAACAAGGGATTTTCCAAGGGAAAATCGTCGAACTCACTTTTGTGATTGAATCATCAATTCAAGCCAAACATTAATCAAATAGGAACAATTTCACTCAAAGTATACCTAGACACAGGAGAACTATTGTCGTGAAAGTGTTGTACAGTCGATTACAAATTTAGATTGCAGAGAGTTTGTTCTGAGCGCTAAAGGCACTCACGATAGAGCACATTTTGCTTTATTCTAACAAGCTGGAGAAGAAAGAGTCAAAGTCAAAAGTTGACAGATTGTTCTCACTTTTTATAATATAACACAAGCAACGAGTGAATTGGTTGATAAAGTAGGGTCTCTGATAGATCTATATACTTCTATATACTGTAAATTCACATATTTAGAAGGCAACAATACCTGGACAGCTAAATCGCAGTCAATTGAACAGGTAGATTGCAGGCGGCAGTGGATCGCTTACTTCTAACAGCAACTTTCAAAACTTTAACGTTAGGCACACTGCTGAGCGAAGGATCAAAACCTTTAACTGTTAAGGTATGGGGATAGGTTGCAAGAACCAAACAATTTTTGCCAAAAGCACAAGTATCGGCGTGTGAGTCAAGCTCACATTGGGGTAAGGAGTGGGGAAGGGACATTAAAACACGAACACGAGAGGAAAGGGAACAGGTAAAACAAATCTGATAGTCGGCCTCATGTCAGCGACGGCCACGTCGAACTCTGCTACCAACGTTTCCAGAAGAGGGTGCTGGGGCAGGTGCAGGTGCAGTTTCTTCGTTTTGTTGGCGGTCACGATTTTGTTCCCGCAAAGTGTTCAATTCGGCAATGTCACGTTCACTCATAAGACGACTGTTAGCACATTCACGGGTTTGAAGGACAACGCGACGATCACGATCAGAGAAACGGCTCCAAGTATCTTGGGAGTATCCACCATTGTTGAGGATGGTTGTGCCGTCATCGTACCATACAAAACCATCGTGGTCTCGACTACCACCTCGTCCGCGACCTCCGCCACGTCCATGATGATTATGATTACGATTACCACGATCACGACCACCATTATCACTATCACGACAACGGCCACGTCCGCGATTAGAGTGTCTTCCCCCAGCATCGACCGCAGCTAAGGCTCTTGTGCCGCTGATCGCAGTTAAGCGGTGTGTTGGAAATCGGTTCTGGCGGACATCAGGTCTTCACAGATGTTCCGAAATGTCGAAATTGTGGCGAATGGTGGGTTCAGCTAGGAATATAACATTTATGGCTGCACTATGTAAAACTAGTCGTAGACTTTTTTCCACGGTCGTCTGAGTCAAAA